TTGGCCAGCATGGAGCCAGGGCATGTTGAGCTACTTGCCCACCAACAACCAACACCTGTGCTTCTTTCCAGGGCACCTCTCAATGCATTCTCTGCCCAGCCTGTACCTTTGTTTGGGATTGCCCTGATCCAGGTGCAGGACCTAGTACTTGGCCTTGTTGAACTTCATGAGGTTTGAACAGACCCAACTCTTCAGCCGGATAAGGTTCCTCTGGAGGTCATCCTTTTCCTCCAGTGTATCAACCACAACACACAGATTGGTATCCTTGGTAAACTTGCTGAGATGAATTCAACCCCATGCCACCAACAAAGATGTTAAATGTCACATTACTGACCCCTGAGGGGTGCCTCATCACTGGTCTCTGCTTGGACATGGAGCCATTGACCATAGCTCTATACGGGTGCTACCATCCAGCAAAGATGGTCCACACATCACGGGTTCAGCAACATTAGAGCATATTTTTTCTCCGAAAGAACTTATGTTGCCACTTGCTATTTTTCTGACCTTGTGTCTTCTAGCTTGGTTCTATTTTTCTGAAGTCTTCCTGTACCATTGCAACCAACTTGCACAGTATGGTTAAATAGAACCTGTGTAAGGCTGAAGTCAGATCCCATTTTTTCTTAATTTGTGTTTTCTCTAAGTCTGTACATGCAACTATCAGAGTAGTTGCAAGCTGATTATTCCTTTCTTTTTCTAGTGCAGAAGTCACATGTAGTTGTTATATTTGCTGAAAGCATCCATATGGCCAGCAGATGTACTTAAAAGGTGTTTAATGAGTGGTGTAAATTCACTCCATTCAGTTCTCCTTTAGTGATTTTATCTAGGCTAGGTGTATATTTCCTGTTTGTTTGAAACTGGCATGGATTATCTGAAGTACAATCATGTTTACTTGGAGTAAACTTGTTCTGGATGAACAGAAGTAAGTACTTAATTCAAGTGTAAGGTTTGTCATTGGACTATCATCTTCAAAATTGTCAGTACAGCTTCTGCTTTGATTTTGGCAAGCCCTATATCATTTGACTGAAGGACTGAAGTTCTGCATGACCATAAATAAAAGGTCATGTAAAGTTCTGGCTCTTCTTCTATTTTTTTGTACCAACTTCCACTGGTATTGTAAAGTTATCTGTATATTGAATATATATAATAAATATATATTAAATTCTGCTCAAAATTTTATTTTTGTGATTTAACCTATCAACAGCGATGAAACCATCCCTAACTTCCTCTTAGTTATCTAAAACCTAGTGGACAGAGATCACAAAGTACATATTGATCACCCATATCCCAAGATTCCACTAACATTTTTAGCTGGAGCATCAGTTATATTTTGTAAAATCTATATCCGAATACTTTTGTCATTTTTTTTGCCTTAACATGTGTGCACACATGTGCATGCATATGTGGCTGGTTTTCTCCCTTTCACTCATTACAGTGTTAACTTTCTTTAGTTCTGTGAATTTTCCTCAGGATTTCAGCAGTTAGGAAGCAAACTTAATTATCAACATTGTTGTCTATCATGTCTTTCATATATTTTTCTAATAACTCTTCAAGCTGCCATTTAAAAATAAATGTTTAATTTTAGTACGTGCAGTTTACTATCACTTCATATTATTGATTTAATGGAAAGTAGTTCATGTTATGTAATGTGAAAACACTGTTACTGTTTATGTTTTCCAAATAAGCAGCAGAAACATTTCTGCTGTTCCACATTTTTTTACACAATTCTATTTTTTCACATCTAGTTGTAAAGCGGTATTAGTGTTTAAAATATCATTGTCTCTGATTAAATTAACATTCTTAATTTCCACAGAATGTATCTATTTGCCTTTTCTTCTAAGTTCTTCAACTATTTAGTTCTTCAGTTATACCCTAACTGTTGCCAGCTTTTGTGTGGGTTTTGTTCTCCCCCATTTGTTTCATGTTTTATTGCGCTGCTTTCTCTTCTTTTAGAATAGAGTAAGAAATGAGTTGGAGATGAGATAAGGAGTAAGTTTGAAGTGGTGTAGCTGAGACATGTTGTCATAATCATGAGTGTGAAATTCCAGAGTGGGGAGTCTTTTGTTCCAAGGATGTTTTTACAGGTGTGCTGGTTCTGGCCCAGAATTTACTATCTTCATAGCAGTGAAATTGTGCCTGTGTTTTGTGTTTGTGACTAAAACAGTGTTGAAAACACACCAGTGTTTGGGCTATTGCTCAGCAATGCTTGCACAGGATCAGGGCTGTCTCACATTCCCATTCTGCCCACATTCCAATACCAGCAAGTAGGCATGAATTTGGGAGAGGACAGAGCTGAGACAGCTGACACTGTATAATCTGTAACATCATGCCCACCGATAAAACAGAGCAGAGGAAAAGGGTGAGATAGGGGGTGTATTCAAAGCTGTTTCTCAGAGACTGATGATCTGCTTGTGGGCTTTGGTGAGTGGTTGCCCTAGTATATATTTTTTTAATCCTTACTTATTACATTTTATAATTCTCACTTTTTTCCCCCCTTTACTTATTAAACCATCTTTCTGTTGACCTACTGGTTTTCTTTCTTTTTCACCTATTCTCTCGCCTGTCCCACTACGGAAGGACGCAGGGGGAAGTGAGCTAGAAGCTGTGTGGGTGCTTACCTGCTGGACATGATCAACCCACAATAGCAGGGTGGAAGAAAAATACATTAAGAGCACAATTTCTGAGTAGTGGGGTTTTGAGGTTTGAGGGAATGAAGTACTTTTAATGAAAAGCATGCCAGGGAAGAGGCATTTGTGCATCCACAGATGAAAGAAGAAGGAGGACAGGATGAGAAAACTGACTGTTTAACCTTGAGAAGAGGAGGCTCAAGGTAGAGGATCTTATTGATGTGTCTAAAAGCCTGATAGGAGGAGTAAAGATGAAGACAGGCTCCTTGTGATGTCCAGTGAGAGACAAGAGGCAATGGGCACAAACTGAAATATGAGAAGTTTCATATAGTTTATTACAAAAAGAGAACATTCCAGTTACAGACTATTGTGCTGAAGGCTATTTCCTCATATCTGAGTGTGAAATGACACTCAGACAAAAATTGACACTGTAATATCAATTAGTAGTATCAATATACAGGTAGTTCAGTACTTACAGCTCTGCTGGAAATTGGGCGTAAAAAGGCAGCCTTTACACAAGTGCTATTTTGTAGCAGGAGTGCTGATAGATTAGTTTAATTCAGAAGTATCAAAACTAACATATTAAATGACTCATTGTCCTGATTGAGCCTGCTTTTTAGGTTCAACCTACTAATTTTACTTCTGGCTTTTTCATTTGCTGACAGTTTTGTAGGTAATAGTTTGTTTATATTATTTAGTTGGAGGCAGTCCCTGGCTTTCAGTGAGCAGGCCTGATTAGTCTTGTCTACTGAGATTATTTGTTAATTGTTGCTATTCTGGTGTGTATTTCATCAAGGAAATCTTGATTACTTGGTTAAAAAGACGAAATAGGAGCAGTTCATCTTTTATTTTATATGAGTGAAACACTACACTTTAAAAAAATTTATCAGCTTCCTCTTAAAACAGCAAATGCAACATGAAATGTGGGGGAGATACATGGAACACTTATGGTTTTGGTTACTTTAATAGAAATGTAGATTATTTTCGTTTTATTAACTCAGTGACTTCAAAAACTTACTCACTGATTTACTATCTGAAAAAAATGTTCATGGATGCTTTGAAGTAGCGTGGGTTTCAATCTGAGATGAAGAGAATATTTTTTAGTGTGTAGGTGCATGAAGAGTATGATCTCTTTGTAGTGCATGCTGCCTCCCTCTCTGTGGATTCTCATTAGCTGAACATAAGGAGACAGTTCTGCAAGCGTGGCAGTACACACAGAACTGTTGCATGAACAGGCAGTGCTTTTCACTGTATTTCTGTACTCTCACATTGCACATGATGAGTTTTCTTTTTAAATTTTCTTTTTACTGCAAAGATAGCTTGGGATGTGTTAGTGTGAAATACTAAATACTGCATCTTTCTACATAAAACTGAGGGTCTCAGACTATTCCACTGAGGAAGATAATGTGGTGATTATGTTGTACATCTTCAATAGCAGTTACTTTTATTTACAAAAATACATAATACTGTATTGCCAGAAGGGGTTCACAAGTCGTCTTCTGCTGCTTGTTCTGATTGTATTGGTCTTTTGCAGCATGACTCTTCCAAAGATCCTTCCTCATTCCTCAGTGGATCTCGGCCACATTCTTGACTACCTTGGCCTGAAGCAGCCAGATGTCTGACGCCAAATTTCAAAAATATATTGTGTCTAGCAACTTCAAGTTTTCTTTATCTGTCTTCAGCAATGACCAGAACCAGTACATACTGCATTAAAACCCAGTCACAATGCAATGCTAAGAGCATCCTGTAAACGTTTTCCTGGGATGTCAGCAATACCAGCACACTGGCACTAGGGACCACATCCCACATTAAAAGGCTTTGGTTGACAATTCGGCTGAAGTGCAACGTCAACAACTCTGGCAGGCTGCACAGGGGCATTTTGCCCGACACAGTGACCGTACAGACTGGGTGTGCATCCTGGAGCCTCAGCAAAGCCCCTTCCCAAGTAAGTAAATGGGGTGTAGACCTCCTTCCCCTCCCAAATATGAGGGTTTTCATAGCTCGTTCTGAGTGCTCTGGCTGTAACTGCCAGCCCTGTGCTTTTGCTTTGGGATAATAAATATCCAGTTTTGACCGCCTGTTTCCCATGTTTGTAAATTTGCATAACCCTGGAGTCTGACCGATGGGAATGGAGTGCTGCTGGGGTTTCGTTCACCTCTGCAGCTGGACAAGCCCCCGTGGCTCCCCGGCCACCCTTTCCCGGGGTGAATAAAGACACCCGCGGCACACCGCGCACGTTTCGGTTCCTCGCTGGCAGACTCCGGGGGAGGGGCGGGCACGCTGGGCACGGGCGCCGGGGGCACCGGGACCCTGCCGCAGCGGCGCCGCCCGCTGCCGCCGCGGCTGCGGCACTGCCGGTGCCGCTCCGGCGGGGGAGGTGGCCTTGGGTGGCCGGGTCTGCGCCGGGGACAGGGGGAATTGGGTCCATTAACAGGTTGCGACGGGCGGGTGGTCCGCGGTGCTCTTGGCACCCGCGTTTTCGGCGCTGAGGTGGGTAGGAGCAGGATTTTTGTTAGCAATTTGTTACCGCTGCTGCTGCTAATATTGGCTTCCGATGCTATAAAACGCTTCCTAAGAAGCAGCGTCTTCAGCTGGGTGTTTGATAACTCTCGGGTATCCGGCAGCTGTCAAAAATACCAGGACCTGTAGTTGTTTTTCTCTAGCCCCATTCGGGCTTTAAGATGGCTCATACACATAAGGAAATACCAAAACTTTTCTTAATGGTAACAGAACCACAGGAGAACAAGAAACAGCTTTGGGCATCCTTATGGCTCTAAAGGCAGTTTAATCTCCCCAGGTATTTTCTGAGGCAATGACCCTTACTTTAAATCACTTTTTTTTTTCATAAAGTTTTTGAAGGACCGATACTTTCTTGTGCCAACTTTTAAACTCTGTAATGTGGTATTATTTTCTTTTTTGTATGTAACTTATGCATAATAGAATATTATTCCTTTTATTTACTGAATGTATCATCTGACTCTGTCCAGTGGTTATTTTATCCTTTTCATTTATTAGGTACAGGATTACTTGCAGTTTTACTAATATAAATTGGGTTATGGAATGAAATAATTTTGGGACTAACTAAAGTTCGTGCCATTCTAATTCGTGGAATTCGTGCCATTTCTAAGTTTGTAAGTCCTAAGTTAAAAGTCCAGGAAGGGATGAGTAATTGATAGGAGGTTTAGGTATTTTGTGGGCTGATTTTTGTTTGTTTTGGGTTTTTTTTGCTTCAGGGCATATGACATTTGCAAAAATTTGCCACTGTATCCTTGAAGGATCATGCTGTAACAAACAAGCAGTATTACTAGACACTTTTTTATTTCTTCCTACACACTGTGTCGCTTGAATAATTTTGGTGTTCTACAACACAAAGGCCTTGTATCTTTGTGCATACAAAGTGGTTGTGAATAAAACAAAAAGAAATCAAATGGCAAACAACTAAAATGCTCCATGCTCAGTTGCATTTTTCTACAGCAGCACTTAATAAGTAGGCAGGTTTCAAAATACAGTTTTTGTATTCATACAGAACAGCCTGTTTTCAGGGTGTCTTATTTTATGGTTTTGAAAATATATGTGTACTCCCTGAAGTCAATGAAAAGATATATACAGGCTTGCCTGACTTGCAAGAATTAATTCTAGAAACTTTTCCAAGATGTTATTCTTTCATATGAGCACACGTTTCTGATATTTCTGGGTCATATGCTTTTAAGCTTCCTGTAGAAGACTTCTGGACTTCTGGCTGAGCTGGTTCTGTCCTTCTCCTACATGGAAAAAGATTCCTTTTAGGCTTAGCATAAATTTTTGTGAAATCTGTGTTGTATATTTTGTGTGGCTGGAAAGACACAGGGTTTTAGGTAGCCTGCCATGTTCTTATAGTCATTCTCTTCATGTCCCATTATGGAGGAGGTGCATGAAGTACAGTTATTTGAGACTGAAAATCTTGTGCTACAATGTATATAAGTTTCATTGTTGTTTTTACATTGGAATAGGGAGAAATTTCAGTTTTCCCTGTGCCTGCATCTAACAATATCTTTTGATTGAAACTTTCATTTCTAGTCAAATCTAAAGTGTTAAAAATTACTGATGGCAAGGTTGCAATGATTTGACTTTGTAATGTGTGAGCCTGTCCTAAACTCTGAAAATTTCGAGTATATATAACGTTATGCATTTGTGTCTTTACATACAGGCAAAACCCAGTTCTTCAGTATCTGAGGATGGATAAAGACTTCCGCTACTACTTCCAGCACCCGTGGTCTCGCTTAGTCGTGGCTTATTTAGTGATCTTCTTTAACTTCTTAATATTTGCTGAGGACCCAGTATCTCACAGCCAAACGGAAGCCAATGTTATTGTTGTTGGTAATTGTTTCTCCTTTGTAACAAATAAATACCCTGAAGGAGGAGGCTGGAGATTTTTGAAGGTGTTTCTGTGGCTCCTTGCCATTCTCACAGGACTGATAGCTGGGAAATTTCTCTTCCATCAGCGCTTGTTTGGTAAGTTAAAAGATGCATCTGCTGAATTCCTGGTAATGGCTTTCTGACTTTTCTGCTTAGCTTTCTACTCGTGGCAATTTAGTAAGCTTTGCTTTTAATTGCTTCCACTGTTTAGAGCTGTATAGAACTCAGTATGTCAAAGCTTACACCATCATAGAAACAAGTGCCATAGCATATCTCTCAATGATTTCGGTCCAAAAAGGATAAAAATAGTGAAAGCTGACATGTTTTAAATACTTGGGAGGTCAGTAACTTAAAATTTTTCTGTGTTACAAATGTACTTCTTTGCACCTTCAGACGAATTTTTAGGTCTTATGTAACTTTCTTGGCAATTTGAAGAAAAGGAATTCTTCCTTGGGGCAGCAGCTCTTCATGTCTTGTCAAAAGACACTTAAGTGGAAGCAGAGGTCTTGTAAGTATTAGCAGAGCTGTGCTGAAGAGCTCCCATGTGAAAATGAGAATTCTAGAGAGGTAGGACCTGTCTCTGTTTTAGAACAAGAGCAAATCAGTAAAATGGAAAGGCGGGAAATGGGGAAAAACATGACAGTAAATGTTTCCATACACAAGCTATGACTTGACTGAGGAATGTACTGTACATGGACTAACTGAAAGGGATGAAACGGTCCTGGAATAAATTCTGAGACTGACAACTTAGATGTAAATATATAGAGATACAAAAATATCCATTGTTGTCTTAACTTACGTGTAGAGAATGTTGCATCTGAAGGCTCAAGGCTGTCTCCATGTTTTAGAGAGAAATCTTCAGTAGAAAAGATTTCTTTGCTTCTGCCAGTTGCACTATTCTTTGAAACATCTGATTCTGGGTGTGTTGCTGCTGGTCTAGATGGACAACCCCCATATTCTTATTCTGGTAGCACTGCAGGATGGATGGTTACTGGAACACCTCAAAGCACATGAGCAATAGGCCATTTCCTTAGTCTGTCTCATTCTATTAAGATCAAGAGAGAGGCACTATTGTTTCAGTAAATCAAATGTAAAGCTGTTGTGTTGAGGAATGAACAAGCAAAGCCACATTAAGTGACTTTTAATACAGACTTCTTTTGAAGCAGTTATTCTGAAAAATAATTAAGCATCATCAAGACTATTAGGCTGTTTTACCACAGTGTAATAGTAAATGTAAAATGTTCCCATAAAGAGGACATTTTACCTGGAACGAGAGCTACCACAAGAACGCTTTCAATTCTAGCTTCCCCAGTTGAGAAATTATTTTGTTAAACTGAAGATGTTTAAGGAAAAGTGATGAAACTGATGATAAATTTAGAAAATTAGCCCGATAGTGATAGGATTGAGAGGATAAAGGGAAGATTAGAGAGTGACTTGCTCAAATTTGAAGGGCAGAACTTTTAGTTCAGCATATGTAATGCAAGGTCCAGTGCTTGGAAGTGGCAAATAGCCAGCATTTTTTTTTTAATCTGAAAGGCTAGACAACCAGTGGAACAAGTTTTTATAGGATATGTCCTCTTCAAGACATGCATTTTTCTTTTTGAGAACACATTTTTCTCACTACAGAGTCATTATCTTCTGTCTGGGTAGGTTATTATGATAATTCCTTCTGGATTTGTAAGTGAATATCATATGTAGCTAAACATAAATTTTAAAGTGGCTTGATTCAGTCTTACTGCCAAACGGGGAAAGTGTGTCAGTGTCTGCTGCTTTGTGCCTTTGTGCAGTTGCTCAGTGAAACAGGATAGGGAACTCGCCCATATTAGCAGCACCCATCTTTTATTTCTGTAAGGGGTCACATGTCTGATCATTCTGATGTTTGTGGCAGCACTAAGATGGGGTCAGCATTGAGAGGAAACTAATGAGGAAGAAATTCCTAACCCTGAAGGCAGTGCTACTTTATGGATATTTGTGGTTGTGGTCTGGACAAGCAACAGGGGTGTAGGTGCAATCTGATTTGAGGCTAGCTGCTGCACACTGAGGTTCATGGCAATTTGAGCCGATGTAGATCTGTCACAACCCCACCCTCCTAATGCCAGCCACATCATTTTGAGCCATTGCTGCTGTTGATGTGACAGTGCAGCAAGCCAGCCCAGGCAGCCAAACTCATGGAAAATCAGTTGCTTCTGCTGTCATCTACAGCAGCTCCTTGAACTGATGTGCTCACTTTGGTGCCAGTGCTGATGAGATGGCCAAGGACTGTGCAGCCAAGGCAGCTGGGGGCTGTGGCAGCAGTACCTTGTGTTGGCTCGAGTGCTGTGGGGCTGCACCCACACAGCGTGGCAGTAGAAATGTGCTGCTGCTCGTGATGCACTGTGAGCAGATGGCAGGCAGTGGGACTGAGGAGCTGACTGTATTGCTGACTGATGTGGCTGTGGAGCTGGTGTGGATAGACAGTGCTGTGATGAGAATGTGAGTTTACAGCTTCAGGTATCTCTGTGCCTCCAAGACATTTGTACAGCCCATGCTGAAAATTTTCTGCCTGTTATTTGCAATACTTTAATGACTTCATTGCCTAGAAACCACTCCTTTTATTGAGATCCTCATTGAATGTGTCCTCTGTCATCAAGCAGTTAATAAATTCACCCCTTTATTGTTTTTAATTTCCCTACTCTATTTCTTTAAGTAGCTGCTACTTGTGTAATTTTTCTTTATTTAATTTTTTTAAATGTATAAGTGCTTAGGACCACTCTGGTTTTAAATCCTTGTTTGTTTTTTTTTTTTTTTTTTTCTCTACTAAACTCTGTTTGCAGAGGAAATTGTGGCTGCTTTTTTCTTGTGGCCTGTGTATAACTTCCTGCAGTCAGGAAACCAAATAGCACCAGTCAATCTTCCCCTGTCCTTGGCTCACCATGCAGGCTGCAAATTGAAAATGAAAAGGATTAGTCTGCACATCTCACTTTAAATGAAGAGGAAAGGATTTTCTTTCTCTATGCCCTTTATGGTTTTTTGTTCCTTGTCTTCTGTATTTCTTGCTGCTGAGTTTGCATAGGAGCTAGAAACATAGTGTAGCTAGAACTGTGTCATAATACAGTTTACCATCTGTGACAGTCACTGTCTGATAGCCATGACTGTTGTGGACTAAAAAAATAAAATAAAAGTTCAAGCATCTTATATGTCTAAAAGTGGAAGGAGACAGGTGCTGGAAACCTGATTTAGGCTTAATCACTCTGAGTTTACAGAGAGATGAGGGAGCAAGTAAACTATATTGATGAGAAGTAGAGATCTCAGCTGTAGGATGTAGTGGAATGTTTTCTGTTGATAATATTTGTTGCAGTGTTGCAGGCTGCAATACTTTGAGCATTATGATCTTCAGGGAATCCTTCAAGACACTCCTCATGACTTAAAACAAGATCGGAAAACAATTACTTTTCTTGTTCATCAGTCGAGAAATAGCTTATTTCATTTGATAAACCTTTCCCATGATAAATATTTCCCTGGAAAATAGCCCTTATCTAGTACATTCTTTATATATTCATGACATGTGGTCAGAACAAGTGGAACATTGTCTTTTGGCTGTTATCCACTGTATTATTTTGATCCATCACTAAGCATATCTTCTATTTGGTTAGGTGTTTTGTTCTGCTGTGCTTTTAATTTTGCAATGGAAAGTGAAAGGTCATAGAAGAACATTGGAAGTTTGGGGAAATAAAAAATAAAGATACCTACCCCTGGCTTGTTTGTTTTTTTTTTTTTCTGTATGAGTGAATTACTTGAGATAAGGGAGAGTGGTAATTTCTTCATTAATTTTCTGCTTTATTTAAACCAGAGAGAGTTTATAAACTGACCCATTTGATGACACTATGGATTCAAAAAATGCATTCAAATCTTGACTTAAAAGAAATTAATAAATAAGCATTTGCCTATTTTTCATATTGCTCTGGGGCATTGTATGGAAGATAGCACAGTGTTTAAGGTATAGAAAGTGTATGTTTTAATTGGCACCTGCTCAGCCTGTGCACAGTTGCTCTTCTGCACTGCTTCACACCTAAATTCTGTGTTCAGTGGGGATTTTTTTTGCCCAAAGTTACCAGGCTGTGCATTTTGCATCAGTATAGATAAACATGATCCATATATATCATTATCACTGAGCCCAGCACAATAGCTGTTCTCATCCATGCCCCTCTAGTGTAAAACCTCCGTGTTAGGGACAATACTGGAGCTATCTCTGGGTAAGAGAATAAGCTTAGGGACCAGAAAGGTATTAAAATGTCAAAAAAGCCTGGGAATTACACATGTAAAAATAAGTTTTCAGTTTGAATAAGCTTTTAGGAGTATGCATAAATGGGCAGTATACTTGGAAAATATCTTATTTTTTTCAGTCCAGCATTTTTGCTTTGACTGGTCCTTACGTGTACTAATCATAGCTTATGCTGCATATTAGATACATCAGTTTTAAAAAACTTATTACAAAATGTACATGTTTCTACTTGTCTCTTTTTCTAATTTTAAAGATATATTAAAATTTGGTTAAAAGTCTGATTACAGAGACTGTATTTGTATTGTATTTGGGTTTGAATCAATTGCCAGTGAGTGTTCTTAGATTTATACTTGTAAGTTCCTTTCTAAATGGTGTGGATGGAAAAACTAAATACTTAGTGTGTTATAAAAAATTACAGAAAACAAGATACATATAGCTAAATCTATATTTCTTAAAATGGAGGAATCATAATGCAGTGAGTAAATTAGAGCCGTTGCATAAATGTTGAATTTAATGGGTTTCTCTCTTACAAATGTTCACAGTATGCAGTTTGTTTAAAATTAAATGATAATGTGAGCTTCATAGACACTGAGACAAATGAATAAAGCACTCATGATAGGAATTGCACTGAACTGTGGGTGCACACAAACGTTGCAGTTTGTTTAATGGACAGTAGTGCCATGCTGGGAGCAATTTCATGATAGATGGTTTCAAACAAAACACCCACCCAGGGTATGTGGTCTGAAAACATCACCCTTTTTGTCAAACATCTCATCTGGAAGGCTCTAAAAGATCACGGAAATGTCTTAAAAGCAGACTCTTAGGTGTCTGCTTT